GCGAAACATATTATAGAGACAGGACATAAAATTGACATTATTCATTTTCATAATCATATCGTAATCATTTCAATTACACCTACATAACATCGAAACTTGGTTTTTGGGATTCTCTTCCTTTTTCCCATTGCTCGTAAGGGTTGTAGAATTTTCCACATGTTCAACACGTGTGTTGAATCATTCTCAGTTAAATCTGTAAATATATCTGTCGAAATGAATAAAGCTTGAATATATGCATCAGGGGGGATTCACCACCTGTCTTAAACATCTGGAAAATTCTACCATCCTTATAACAGGTGGAGAAGAACGAGGACTATGAAAACTGAATTTCGGAGTTGTGTATTTAAAATTGGTACATTTATGAACTACGAAGTATGTTCGAAGCATCACCCAGTAAATAATACTGTCTAACTGTGTGATGTATTTAACAGACTAATTCATATGGAATTAAGTAGTAACGTAGTACCCAAGTTTTACAAATATATTATAAAACAACTTTCTGACTATTTTTCGAATAAACAAAGTTACCGAAAATAGTAAATGTGAATGACCAAACAGGAAAGTATGTTAGATATATTCGGTGGTGATCTAAAATCATCCACCAATCTACTGTGAGATAAAAAGGAACAAGAGATATATTACTCTTATATTCAGGACATATTAGCCACAAGTACTTTTGATTCACTCTTTATCTGAAGAGTGTTTAAATTCTGTCAGCTCTCATTATTTTGGGTGGACAGCAGCTAGTAACTAAAGTAATGTGTCTAGTCCTTTTAATTGGTGCAGACTGAATTCAGTCAGTGTAGTTTGCAACGTGGCCGTCATTCTGGGTGTCTCACCATCATGGTGCAATTTGAACTGGTGATATTATATGCTTCAGGGTGTACGTCAGGAAGCCTTCGACTTAGGTTTGTGCTAGTTGGCACTCACCAGTCAGCAAGGCGTGTCTGCAAACTTCAAGGAACTCATTTAAAGAGATTCAAACCCGTGTCACCCAGTACTGTAGTCAGAGAGGTTACCGCCGAGCTATTCGGGCCCAGAGCTCGGCGGTAACCTCTCTGACTACAGTACTGGGTGACACGGGTTTGAATCTCTTTAAATGAGTTCCTTGAAGTTTGCAGACACGCCTTGCTGACTGGTGAGTGCCAACTAGCACAAAACCTATGGCGAAAGCTTCCTGTTGTTTGCTTCTAAACATCTAATATGAACAGTTCTCATTATTTGCTAAATTTTTGCATACTCTGATCTAGTTGTTGAAGTCTACTCATTAGGTTCCTGAGAATCCGAAGGACAGAGGTCTTAACTAACAAACAATTATAGGTATCCTTCTTAAAAAAATTAGAGTTTACAAACTATGGTGACTGAAAAAGCACAAATACTGTATACATTAATATAACAATATGCAAATCCTAAATTTCAGGATTTATGTAGAACTTTTTCTTTCTCTGCAAACATTGCTTCAAATGACGAAATGCCTAAAGTTGTGTACAGTCGTACACCACTTGAGTAGTACTGCTTGCCATCTGAATCTGTATAAGTGATTTCAGATAGATATCTTCTGATATTCCATAAGGTGTATGAAAACTAAGCACATTTTAGTGACATAAAATGTCCACTGAGCTTTAATCTTACTGCCTAAACAAACGACAAGATAGGGTTATCGGACAGCTAAACAATGAAGGCAAGTTTACTACACAATTATTAACCTGAATTCAAGTAGATTTCCAGTCTTCTTGATGTTTCAACACTAGTTTTCAATTAACCGTGTGTAAGAACAATAAAACGAATCTCCGTATTCCAAGTAGACAGCAGCATCTGATATCCATTTTCATTAAAAACTGACTGCATAATATCATTCTCCTAAGAGAACGATTCCATCATTAAACCGAACTTCCTAAACGTTTTCTTAAAAACATGCACAGAAAAGAAATCAGTCCTAGTTAGACTTAGAAAAATGGTGTATTAATAAGTGTAAGGTAGATAATAACCTTCGGCTACTGTAGTACTGATGAGAATTAATTCACATTTTTCTTTTCAAACTCTGGACTCTTCAATACTTCAGGTAACTAGCTAGCTATTGCTTTCCATTATTTTGTGTTTTACCTCAACACTGTCACCAGCATGTTCTCTTTGCTATAAGATAATTCACACCCTTCTGATTATTTTTTTCATAATACAACGTGAATGGATTTTTCTTTTTTCACTAACCCTCTGATGCCTCTTGCCCTAAAGTGAAGTTTTGTTGATTAGTGTGAAACATTCTTTAGTGATTCAAGTTAAATTTTTGCCACAGCCTATACTTCTGTAGTGTACATTGAACTTTTGAATTTTTTGTCTTAACGCATTCACCCACTTTTGGTACCACACTATCTTTTGATTTCCGACTTGACTGTACACACGTGGTTCGCTTTCTTCTTGTGCTATCATTCAGCGCACTCTTCGAGCTTACTACCCAGTCGAGGCATCAGATAAGTTGTTTAACATCCTTATTTATTAAAATTGATATTTCATTTGTGTAAAATACAACTCCCTTCAAGACACACTTCCAGTCTCAATTCTTTTTACTTTGATTTCGCTAGTCAGTACTTAAACGCTAGGTAGAGTACTGACAAGGTTAGTAAGCGGTGAAGCATTTAGTAGGTGCGGTTATTTGAGGTCTATCGTAAGTATAACCCAACACTTACACTTTTATGATAATATCGGTCGGTGGGTTTTCGACATAGAACTTTGCACATATGTGCGGCAGTTCAAGTCGCCACAATCTATGTAGCACGCAAAGCAAGAGAAGAAAGTGGGAGAAATGCATAATATAGACAGTAAACAGAGGTGTGAGACAAAGAAATAGTAATAACGGAGAACAAAACAGTTTAATTGGAAATCATAAGTCACAAGGAGTGGATGCATCTGCAACAGCCATTGAGAACGATTTTGAGCCATGTCACCAATTGTTTCCAACCATTGGTTTTTACCGTCCCGAGGACCCCAACCAGGAAGTCAACACCTTCCTGCGTAGCTTAGACTAATTGTTGTAGATTTCATTGACTGGTGCCATGTTTTGGTTTGACCGCCGCTAGCTCTTTTCCAGCCTGACCCTATATCAGCTAACATTCCCCGTCGAGGAAGGCGATGACTAGGCATACGTAATGCATGTCCTAACCATCTCAGTCAATGTAATTTCACAGTTTCGTCGATTGATTTCCCCGCCTTACCTAGCACTCGACGCCTAACCTGAATATTGCTCACCTTATTATACCACTTCACGTGGGAGATAGAACGCAGACACCTATGATCGAAGACAGCTAGTCTTTTCATGTCTTCTGCTCTCAATGGCCAGGTCTCACAGCCATAAAGGAGGACGGAGCGGACTGTTGAGCAGTACACACGCCCTTTGGTCGATAGTCGGATATCACGTCTACGCCAGAGACGGCGTAAACTGGCATATGCGAAACTAGCCCTCTGTATTCGTGCTGAGATTTCGTCGGAGATCAACCCGTTGGGGCTGATGGTACTTCCCAAGTAAGTGAAGCGGTCAACGTGCTCTACCACTTCACTTCCTATTTCTAATTTAGGGGTCGGTGTAGTCCAATCCTGCAGCATCATCTTACATTTTACAGGGGCGATAATATTATATTTTCAAGAGAAAAAAGGCTTTCCGCAAAAAACGCATTTAATCTTCAGATATTTCTAAAGAATTTATAGAGTATAGAAGCTTTGAAATAACACTTGCTTTGCGAACTGTACGAATCCTTATTAACTGAGCAACTGATTGATAGCATGTTTCCTACTGGTGGCTTCTTGTTTTCCCTAAAAAATAAAATTATAACATGAAATATTGTAAATATTATCAAGTTTCTACAATAGTGGAAATCTAACTTATTCATTCAAACCATCTGAAAAGTTACCTCAACAAGGTAAGCTATTTTCTCCTACCAATAAGGAAGCATTCAGGAGTAGGATGGTGTACAGTTAAACTCCAAGTACAACCAATCAAAGTGTTTAAGATGCCTTGTATGCCTATTTCATTTCATAATGGGACCTAATACACAACTTCCTTGTGTTATCTATCTTTCTTCCAAGAATATAATTTGATCAGGACCTATTGAATTCGAAATGAGAAGTTAACTGGTGGATGGTGACTATCAGTGGAATCCAGGATGGGCATTTCGTCTTATTTGGGACCCGTCACTGGATGTACGTGCATTCTGCAGTGAGTGATGATTTTCCCACCGATGCTCGAACCCAGTGCCTATAGTCTAAAACTGAGACCGAGCACTTCGGTCCAATCAATAAACGGGAATATCGAAAATTGAATTACATTGGAATTGAGATTATTCTATTAGACGTAACCCTCACTTATTACCATTATTGTTATCATTTTTTCCTTCAGTTCTAAGTGGAAAACAGGGATTCAGCAACATTCTCTTATGTTGCTTTATTCACCGCTGTTATTTTCAGTAAGAAAAACCAATCAGAAGACGTTGCTTCTCTGCTAACAATAATGTACATGAAAATCTATAAATACTTGCTGATTTCCTCAATAAATGGTCTGTTGCTTGGCCCTTGTCTTCTGTCATTACAATTAAGGCACACAACTGTTGAGGTTTGTGAGTTGTCTGTTCCATGTCAATTAACCCTCCAATATTACATCTCTCCTCCTTATGGCGCCCCTCATCTTAATGCGACTCTTATTCAATTTTCGTTGAGTTCCACTCAATTTCGTCAATTACATTATGTCAGGCAATTCATTTATTTAATTGTACTTTAGTTTCTACTTGATGAACGATTTCTGTATCATGTAATTGTTATCGAAAAATTACAGTTGTAATGATATATCATTGGAACCATTCCTTCCGTTGCTAAGACAAATTTACTATATATATGCGATTGTGCAGCTTTAGAATGTAGGTCAAAAGGGTAATTCTTCGTTGAATACCACTTCTTTGAGATGTCTTCACGTTTTTCTTATTTTAACTTTTATCTCTTTTAACTCTCTTTTTTAGATCAATTAAAAATACCAATATTAGATGGCAACAATTATGCTCAGAACTCTGATCGATACAGTAATACTTTTAACAGATCTGATTATCATTATTTACAATCAGATATGAACGAAAAAAGTCCGTATGTCACAAATAATCAAACCGATATATTGAACAGAAATCAAAATTCATCAGGTGAATTACTTTATTCAAGTAAAACTGGTCGACTTCTACCTCCATCGAATAGCAGCAGATGCAATCGAACACGCAGTCATGCTTCTGTAAGTTATCTTACTTAGTATTTACTATGATTAATTCAGATATAGGTACCAGTTAACTGACATAATGTGTAGTCTGGTGGATAACGCTTTGACGTTTGAAACCATAGGCACTGGGTTCGAGCCTCGGTGGGAACACCATAATTCACTGGGGAATGCAGGTCATCTGACTGACGAGCCCCAAAATGGGACGAAATGCGTATCTTGGATCCCACTGCTAGTCACCATCCACCACTTGACTTCAGGTTACATGACCAGACATCTTTGACGCATCTGCACAAGGAGCCGTTATGTTAACCTGAGACCGAGCATTTCAGTCCAATCAGTCCACGGGAAAATGTAAAATTGAATTAAATAGTGTTTTGCTTTTGGTTATTCATATATCTAACAATGAAGTGCAGTTTAATGTGTGTTGATAAATTTCTGAACAAACGTCAAGGATGGAGATGCCAAAGGTAATTTAGCAAGCGCAAGACAGACCTTAATTAGTTTGAAATCAATCTGGAAATCAACTGCAATCAACATAAAGAACCAGATTCGTATTTTCATTACTAATGTGAAGTATAGTTCTTCTACATGGTTCAGAAACTTGGTTACTCACCAAAAGAGTTTCCAATAGGCTGGTGCATACTTTCTGCAGCGGCTGTCTTCACTTCAGGTGGCCAGAAAGGATAAGTAACAAAGAACTCTGGGGACGAACCAATTGAGAATCTGTTACCCAACAAATATGCCAAATACCACTGGGATGGACTAGGCACACGCTGAGGAGACCACTGAGTAACATCACGCGCCAGACCGCCGAATAGGAAACGAAGAGTTTAGCATATGTCCGAAGATGACACGAAAGTGATCTTGTGGGAAGGAGATGAGACCCTACGTGCAATTGTGCATCTAGCTAGAGATGACTGAAAGGAACAGGACGAAATGGAGATCTACTGTTGAAACCCTATATTACACTTCAAAACTAAGGGAATAATAATTATTATAATAGATTAATTTTCACTAGTTGGTTTGTAGGGATTAGATTTGTCTTTACGAGTTGATCACAGATTGATATCAGTTAGAGAATCATTGAAAACCAGTGAGTACTGGACAGCTGCTGTTTCATCCTAGTTTGGGAATCATCGGTAGCACGCACCCACCACCACGGTTCGAACCCACAACCCTCCAGTTACAAGGCAAGCTCGTAAACCATTCAGCCACTGGAACCCGATTCAACGGCCAGCCCATCAATTCTAACTTTTACAAATTCGTGATTTAGCGCGACCACCAAGCAATGTCATCGGGGGCACATCCAGTGGGTGCGTACTGCCGATGATTCTGAAACTAGGATGAAACAGCTGTCCAGTACTCCCTGGTTTTCAATGGTTCTTTAACTGATATCAATCCGTGATCGACTCGTATAATAGATTAGTTGTTGTAAACCGGATGGATCATAGAAGGGTACACATAATAAGTAGAATAAGAATATTCTCGATTCGTTCTATTCTGAATAGATTTGCAATGTATGAGTTAGTTTGAAAATTGTCTCAAAAATATTCAATGATTCCCACTAAAAATGTTTCAAAATCTTTCAAATGTATCAACTTCATTTTTACAGCTTTCTAAGTAAGGAAGCCAAATCCAATTTAACTTCTGGTGGACACCTTTATGGATTCAGATATCAATTCACCCAAGGTGGAATATGAATACACTTTGAACATAAAACGGAAAAAAATTTCTTTGGTTGAATGTTGGCAATTTTTGGTTATTCAGTAGATATTTTTAACTTATTAAGATACTAGAGAGATGAGAGTTAATAATTCAGCGATAACAAATATACTTTCTGTGAAAGAGTTCATTATTGTCTTATTGGGAGGACATGATGCCTCATGTGTAGCATAGGGAAGCGTTTCACATAAATCTGAACTGTTGATGTGACGGGATTTCATTAGTTTCAGATTGGATCGTGGATTGATATCAGTTAGAAAGTAGTTGAAACCAAGAGGTACTGGACAGCTGACTCATTTTAGACTCTTCAGCAGTGTGCATACTCAACCCCACCTGTGATAGGATCCCCGATAATAGAGAATATCATCCTTCCTGACTCATATTGGGATTTATCGTGCGATCAGTCATTTCTAACTGCTTTGAGCCGACCTTAATGTTATAAAAATGAATAAACATAATGTGTCGTTTTCCTAATAAATGTACATTACAGTATCTTACAGTCACAGGCCAGTCTTTGTCTTTATATTTGCGTGGCTCAGTGAATCGGAAGGTACAATCCACAAATAGGCATATTAGCGTATCAGTCGAGTTCATTACTGTTATTGCCAACTAGCAGGCGCAGATATAACAAAGTGGAGACGGGTTTATTCATTTCAGTGCAGATATAACAACCGGGCAGTGAAGTATGAACCTTCAGGTTACGAGGCGAGTTCGCTAACCATTCAGCCTATGAATTCTAACTTCTTTTGACTGACGATACATAGAGCCACCAGCAGACAATGTCTCATTGGAGAGCACTTTGTCCTCACACTCACCCAGGTGGACCCCAATAGTCAGGAATTTCTAATATAGCTCCAGGCAACTTTTTCCTGTAGTCAGTCTCTCGCTGGAGTCATTCGTAGTTTGAAAAAGCTGGCTATTCGCAACATTTGCATTTTGCTAATAACTAAAGATAAATAAATATTATTATTATTACAACACCAAAAACATTAAAGTTCTCAATCAATAAAAATAAGACAAGCATTATAAGGTGCATAAATTATTGATTAAACTAAGCTTACATTATCATTAAATATGTTCTTGGTCAAATTGGAAAAACACTTATTTCTCTCACCTTGTTCGTACCTATGAAGATGAAGACGAGAACGAGTATGTCACAGATTTAAATTCTTCACTAGACAAGTGATTAGAGCTGTTCAATTCAGTAGCTACATATGAAAATTACCATACTAATTTAATTAACCTCTTTAGTTGGATATTTTCTTCAATACTCTTTAGAAAAATAACCATAACACTTTAGCTGGACAAAGTGAAAATGGTCGCAAGTTGTATTCACTTATTATTCAAGTGTGTACATGAACTTGCATAAATATTATGAATTCATGTTAAGCGTGTTTTATGGAACAATAGAGAATATGTGAATAAAATTGAATTAATTAAATCATACTATTACAGATAAACAGATTGAAACAAAACAATAGGGTAAAAGCGACAAGGTAATTCTTTTACATATAGGATTATGTGAACACGGTTGTTCTATTAATTGAGAATGATTACTGAGTTCCATGAATTTTCCTGTTTCCTTCATTATGTAACGATACGTTTGATATGTAAAAGAATTGTTTTAAAACAAACCCATGTCACGAAATGATTAAAGTATTGGTTTGTAGGGATTTGACTGATTGGTTACAGGAATTCATCAGAGTTGACATCGGTTAAAAAACTATTGGAAGACCTGGAAAGAGTACTGGACAGACTTTTCGTCTCAATTTGGGACTCTTCAGAGTACTCACCTACCGGTGCGTAAGCCACCCATTGGCTTATTGGTCTACGAGCTTGCCTTGTAACCAGAAGGTCCTGTGTTCAAACCCCAATGAGTCCCAATTTCGGACTCTTCATCTGTCCAGTACTCCAAGTTTTTCCAATTGTTCTCTAACCGATGTCAGCGCATGATGAAATCCTGTAACTAATCGACAAGAATTCTTTGATTTCTGCTCTTGTGATATTTTAAAATCTGTTCTGTTCTTCACACTAAAATCACTGTGAAATCTGCAGTAGGAAGCATAAAGAAAAAGATTTGTACTTTCAACACTAATGTCAGATCAGCACTTCTCTAAGGTTCCCAGATTCGCATATCATGACAGGCTGCTGCAGTCTTTAATCAACAGCTGCCAACGCTAATTCCCCACTGAAGATCAGACGACCTGCCAAAAAAGATAAGCAACAAGGAACTTTGACAACCAGCCAAACAACTTATTGTTCAGGAAATACATGGAAAGAAAGGGAGATAGATTCGACATAATCTGAGGAGAATGTTACGTGACATCACACTCCAGAGACATGAGTCGAATCCGAATGGTAGACGATGAGATGGGTGTGGATCTGAGAGTGACGTGGGTGGGATGAATGCATATGGACGTGTGGAAGTAGCTAAAAAGAATTCCAGCAAAAAACAATGAAATGAAATTTTACTACTGAAGCACTTTGTTCCATTCGGAAACCATAATAATAAAACAATCATTTTTATCCATGAATTTTGTAAATTATAAAAATGTTTCAAGAGTAAATTAAATGCTTGCTGTTATCACTACAATATTACTTGCAAACGTTCACTTAATACCCTTGTTTGCCATGAGCTCTATTTCTTTCACTGATAGAAAACACTCATTAAAAGAACACTAGCTTGAGAAACTGTATTCTCCACCCCGGGAGTGTGTCTGCATAACTTCATGACTGAAATTCATGTTGTATGACAAATTCAAGACAATCTGAAGGTGATTTAACTGACGCTGACCTTTGAAGTACCACCGTAAAGGATATTTTAGTAATCAATATAGTTACTGTATTGGTTACAAGATTTCATCATGACCTGACATCGGTTAGAGAACCATTGGAAGACCTGAAGGGAGTACTGGGCAGCTTATTCATCCTATTTTGAGACTCTTCATCAGCATGGAGCAAACGAGGTTTGAACCCTGGATTTTGTGTTTACAAGGCGAGTTCTAAGGTCCTGGGTTTCTCAATGGTTCTCTAACCGATGTCAGCCTATGATGAAATCCTGTAACCAATCAGTTAAATCTCTGCAAACCTGAATAGTTACTGTAAGTTATTAAACATACAACGTAGCCTAAAGGTTCGTCTGAGATTAAGAGTAATAGAATGTATTGACTGAAAGTTTTTCTCCCTAAAAGAATAGTTTGAAAAAAATAGATGAGATTTTTTAAATTCCAAACATTACTGAAAGGTAGCAAGCAGAGATTAAAAACAAAAAATCCATGAAAAATGCTTCATTTCAGTCCAGATCCTTCTAGACAACACGTAATGGCTACGAATTATATTTTCTTCGAAGTCTGGATCAAGAACTAATAAGCTGTTTACTGAATACACTGTACAGTAAACTGGTAGGAGTTAGATTCCAGTGAGTCGTATGTTTGTTGAAAGACATGAATGATCGTGTCTCCATCTCATATGATGTCGATGACCTGCGTTCGCGAGGTATCACAGATGTTCAGCCCTCTGTGATTTCTTGTGGTTATCTGTCTGATGTGAAACAAGCTACAATGATCCATGTTCGTATATGTGAAATTTTTAATCGCAGTTTGATATTACATATACAAATCTATAAAATGTGTAAAACTCTACAACTTTTCATACTCTCCTTACTGAGTCTGCAATATAGAGTGATGTATATACGATTTCGTGTCGGTGGTTCATTGGTAAGATGCTCACCAACCATCCATGTGGTCCAAGGTTAGATCCCTGGCCAGCGCACACCTCTAACTCACTCACCCCGCCAAAGAGGGAAGGCTGGACGTGGGACTAGCAACTCCATCCCGTAAAAACATCACTGCCACTGAAACTTCAAAGCTGAAGCTTGAAGCCCCATGTTCCACCAGGAACGCAAAAGGAATTAAATAAATAAATAAATAACTTATGATTCCAATCACGTCTATAACAAACATTTGAGATAACCTGAACCACCTCAGTGATTACTGGTAAAAATTTGTCAAACATGCCAATCGAAATTAATCGAACACAACTTTAATGTCTCAAATGCAAAATCTAAATATTCATTTCAAGCAGAATTTTAGCTAGCGTATAAGCAAATTGCCTTCGAGCGATAAAAGTTTACGAAATTCGATAAAGTATATTAAAACTATACTGTTTCGAGAATTAGACAGACTTATTTTACCAATCTGTCTCTCTGTTGATCGTTTTCTCATTCCTTTCACCCCAAGCCGATTATCGGGTTTCCCATTTCTGAAGTCTCAGCAGCGGTAATGCTGTTTTTGCTAGGTGACTTTCCTAAACCCACACAGAACCTTCCCTCTTTTTCCTGGGCCTACTATCGGCTAGCAAACTTAGCGACCTAAAAGAGTACATGCTCCAGGAATCAAACACTGATAACCTGGCAAACAATCTACCATAGAGCCATCAACTCACCGTTTCTGTTAATTTAACCATTCTCATCACCAACTTTCATACTATATAGAAATAACGAATTAAGTACATGAGAGATACACTGAATGCCAAATAATATATATTTCTCCCTTTCTATTTAAACTTTATAGATCTTTGATAGAAATCAGTGTTCAAATAAAACATCTTCAATGAATGATTTATTTCGTGATTATGAAATTCAAGTTTTTTCAATGATCTGTAGTATTTTACAAACAAATGATTTGAATGCTGTTCAACATTGGTTAGAAAATGCTACAGACAGGTGAGCTAACTGAAAACTTTTAACATTGTCTGAGGGAAAAAGCTATTTAAATATTGATAAAAGTTACTGTTAATATTTGCTTTCATTAATATCATTATTATTACTTTTATTATCATGAATGAAATGAGATATTTTCACAAGAATATCACACTTCCAAAATTAACATCTACTCAAAACTAGTTTTGCGGTTCCGAAAATGAAATAGGATTCTTTTGAATGTACACTTCATTATTTCCAAGTGTTACTTTGCGGAGAATTGTTTGGAGTGTCCAGAATTCTAATGGGAAATCGTGACTAGTAAGGTCCAGCAAAACGGGCGATGTGACGACAAAGGCTCGTTGATGACACTGGCTGTCAGTCGCGCCACATACCTCGAAATAGCATAAGTAAGAATTCATGGGCCACTTCATTCCATTTTAGTGGATGGATGGTCAAAAGGCTTGCCTACATCAGGTCCCAGTCGGGGTCACGGAGGAGAGTCCCAGTCTAGGATGAACCAACTGTCGAGTACTCCTTGATTTTCGATAGTTCTGTAACCTCACATTCAATTTTTCTTGAAAATACTCAAAACTGAAGTTGCAACGGCAGTCATACACTGAGAATTGGTGTTTAGGACCTCAAGGGATCATGGTAACCCTAAAAAACTGCTAACTTAAATTATAGTCTGATACTTGCTTCCTATTTCCATAAATATCTACTGAATAAGAGGATATTTAACATAAATACGCATCGGTCGACTGGGGCAGGTTTTCTAAACTATATAAACCATTCAGCTGAATGGCTAAATTTACCTCTGGTTCATTCTTTCAACGAACTACTATGAGAAGTGATTGTTATGCCACCTAATAAAGTTCGAATGTAGTTCAAGACATGTACACTTCATCCACTGAATTCTCATTGGACGAACTTTTATCTGCGATTTTAATCAATGTAGTACTATAACCATTCATTCCTTGCGTTCCGAGTGGAACATAGGGATTCAAAGACAAGGTTCTCTGCAATCCCTTTCAGCTAGATCTAAGACTGCACGCAAGCCTTAATTTCTTCCTCACATGAACCTACTCATGTTCCCCTCAGACGTTTAACCCGTCATTTCCCATTAGGGTTCCATCATGGAGTCGATTTGGCGTGTGTTGTCGTTTGAATTTCTCCTCTAAGTATATCCAGTTCATCTCCATTTCATTCTTCATTTTTAACATAAAATACTGCATTATCACATTTTCATTTGATTTCCTAAAATTATTCTGTCATATGATTATCACTTGCGTTGAGCTCTTGTTTATACTTTACAGATTAATTGACGCATAATGTTCGGATTGGACAATGGTCAGTAAATAGAGTAATGTGTCTAGTCCTTTCTTTCGTTGAGACTGGATTCTATCAGTCAAATTTACAATGTAGCTACCCTGCTAGGCGGCATAACATCACGGTGCACTCTTAATTGTTGTTATTAAATGTTCGGAGGTAATCGACAGGAAGCCTGATGGAGTTCAGTCTGCAACAAACATACGACTAGATATATGATACTAGTTACTGCGTCGTGGGCACAGTGGTTAGGACTCTCGCTGACCATGCACATGGTCTGGGGTTTGGTCCCCTGCCGACGCACACTTGATATCAATGGTCGGCCTGCAAAATTTGGATTACCGATATCACACGCTTAAAATTCCATACTTGTACCAAAAAACGGTGTGGAATCAAGCTGTAATCAAAAATTTAAAAAAATAAAAAGTAGTGTCCTATCGAAGAATCTAATACAGTTCTACAGAAGGTCAAATGCGAGTCTCAAATATCTCAGTGGTAATATCTCTAATTACAGCACTGGGTGACATGGGTTCGAATCTCAAGGGGGAACATGAGTTCCTCCAAGACCGCAGATATGCCCTGCTGACTGGTGAGTGCCAACAGGCAAAAAACCGAGGTCCAAGACTTCCTGCCGATATCACCTAACCATCTAATGACACATAATAGGTTAAAAAAATCACCAAGCAAGGAACATCACCTAACATTAAATACAATGACCAGTTAGTCATACGCCAGCATTGTAATCATTCATGCAGTTAATATAACAAAATGTAACATAATTAAGATAAAATAAGATTCTAACTTATATAAGTTTAAAATTAGTATTAATAAGTTCTTTCATTTTGCCGCCATTAATACTTAACAGAATAAACTATAAGTTTTTATGACACTCAGAATTGTCGCCTGAAAATGTTTTGGTTTCATAAGACTGTCTCAATAAAATTAAGTAATACTCTAGGCAAGTTAGTGATTATCTACAAAAGTTGATGATAAAAATGGTGAAATGAATGAAACATGGAAGGCTATTCACTTACTGCTATTTACACAAATATAGATAAGTTGGGTATAGTCTTAGGTAATTAAAGTAAACTGAGTAGCTTTTGCTGGAACACTTTTATAAGCAGATGGTAATACCAGCTGACGAACCACTGGATCATACAGAAATGGCTGCATTAAACCTGAGTGCTTCTACCATGTTTCCTCTGGGATACCGACTTGGGCATATTAGTAATCAATACGCATATTTCAGTGAAACATAAAATGTAAACTCGGAAATAAATTAAGCGATACTTTTATATCAGTTTGATTGATAGTGACTAACAGTAGAATCCAGGATGCGCATTTCGCCCTTCTCGGGACTCGTCGCCTGGATATACCTCGAATCCCCAAGCTGTGACCATGCTCTCAGATAGGATGATTTGATTGTTGGTCACCATCAACCAAAATAAAATCATCTTAGTCCTTAGACGTCACTGAAGCATTCGTACTAGGAGACTACATGTCAACAAACACGGAGCATTTCAGTCTAACATAATCAGTATACAGGACGTTCTCGGTAACCTAAAACAAATGATTAGCGATACTTTCCGTGTATCTATTGCTTCTACTTAATATGATTATCAGCAATAGTTTGTGCTCGAAACATCATCACTTAATATTACTGTATAACACTGTGTGATTTATCAAAATAAAATCTTATCTGTAATGGTGTTTCATCCTAATTTGGGAATCATCGGTAGTACGCACCTACCGCCAGGTTTCGAACCCAGGACCTTCCGGTTACGAGGCAAGCCCGTATACCATTCAGCCATTGAATCGGGTCCCAGTGGCTGAATGGTATACGGGCTTGCCTCGTAACCGGAAGGTCCTGGGTTCGAAACCTGGCGGTGGGTGCGTACTACCGATGATTCCCAAACTAGGGTGAAACAGCTGTCCAGTTCTTCCTGGTTTTTAATGGTCCCCTGACTGATATCAATCTGTGATCAACCCGTCAAAACAAATCTAATCCTTACAAACCAACCACTGAAAATAGTTTGGGACTCTTATTCAGTACCTGCCCACAGGGGTTCAACCTGAGGGCTGTCAGGTTACAAGGCGTGCTGGTAAACTATCCAGCCACAGAGAACCAATACTTAATTTTCAAAGTTAATTACATAATCTAAATAAAGAAGGTGACTTGGAAAATAATCTGTTAATACTCTTCTACTCTTTCTTTGCAAGACAGCATGGGCCACGTTTTTCTATTTCCAGAACTTTTCTTCAAGAAGCACATGTAAGTTATTACGCCATCTGAACCATTATTTACTTTGATGAATAAACCTTTGAAAGTCTAAATGAGCCTTTTTTTACCATCCAGAAGCGATGACCAATTGTTAAAAAAAGGATTTCATCACCTTCACTTGCAAACTTCCTTTATTCGTTTCTAAAACGTAACCATTATTTTAAGGAAAGTGATCACTGACTGTAATCACTTCCCTTCATACATCTTTTTGGATTGTGTGCTAAAAGGCATTGATAATTTCCTGCACAAAAGTTGTGTCAGCCTAAATATAGTTCCGCCTACATGAAATTATAAGCTTCAAGGTCAAAATACAAATCTGAAATAGGATTCTTTGTTCGTATTTTATAATGGTTAGTACAAGTAACGAAGTAGAAAAAAAAATCCACACTATTTCACACAAAATTAAAATCAGAAATAATATGATTTTATCTACCAAGCTGTTTAAAGCTAAATGAACCTGAAAATGTCCTTGTTCAAGGATTTACATTATTGGTTTTATTTCTGTGTTTGAAATTACAACACATTTAAAAGAATAAACACACCAGACTGTCTACATTCCTTTCTCCAATTTTTATTTCATAAATTTCAGGGAGAAAAATTTAATTATCAGTTTAGTTTCTACTGCACTATCCCATCAGGATGCATATTTTAATGGCAGACAGAATCATGCAAACTGTCAACAACCTGAATCGGACACACATTGGTCTCGAAGAGAGAAAACCTTGGTAACTGTTGGTCTGTTTTTTAAAAATGACACAGTTTGATAAAGTTTAAATTTCACCACATCGTCGAAGCATCTGCATAAGGAGGCGACATGTCAACCTGAGACCGAGCACTTTGGTCCCATAAGTCTAAATTGAACTAAATAATTCAAGTTTCACTCCGTTTATAGTCCATCTAACCTCATACATAAGATAAAACCGTTAAGCGGTTTATTATTAATATTATTCGTCCTTAGTGGTACATATAGTTTCAGTGTCTCCACGACTGCCCATAGGATTTCATCTCCTGGGTGTCACTCGCTGACGCCGAACTCGTATTTTCCCATCCGGCCCCCTCATGTAGGGTCTGCCTGGCACATGATGTCATCTGACGGCATCCTCAATGAATGCCTAGTCCATCCTCATTTCTTTCTGCATGTTTGTTGGGCGATGGATTCTTGATTGGCTCGTTACCAAAGTTCCTCGTTGCTTATCTTTTCTGGCGAGTCATCTGATCTTCAATGTCGACGTTAAGTTGACAGCTATTGATAAAAGTCTGAAATACTACACATTCTGGTGAAATAACTATATGTCAACTACTTGATCGAGGTGAAAAACAGTCTAGTCAAACAAAGGATTTCAGTTGCCACTTAATTTAAAATATCCTAATTACAGAAGGCTTCATGGGCATTTTTCGAATTCCGAAAATAACATTCAAAAGAGCTTTAAAATTTAGAAACATTGTAAATTCCATTTAGAAATGCATGTTCTTAATGGTCTCAAATACACGACTGGAAAAAAAGTAAAAACTAATCCTGAGAAAAGAAACAATGTCAAAACTCTGCCTGGAGTAACACTCATCAACCGCCTCCACGTCGGAATTATATTTATCTGTTTTACAGATGATATTATTTAAAAGGAAGAGAACACGAAGTTCAGCAAAGATATCTTTTCGGCGATTTCATTTTCAAAAGCTGTACAATCGCATTTAAATACATAATTTTACATGGAGACAATTCTTGTTTGATTCTACATAATTACGACGGCGAATAAAAGGTGATAATTATTTCCAACTAGATATGGTTTTTACGAGAGGCTTAGATACAAAATTACGCAGGATTAGAACGGAAATCAAGTGTATAAAATTGGCAAGGAAACAAAATAATAATTTTCAACTTGAGACGGGAATCAGGAGGTGCGAATATAGATTACAAGAGCCTTAGAAACACAAAAAATTGCACAGGATTAAGATATAATTGTAAATTTTCTAAAACGAATTATAAATGTGAACAGGAAAAGCAGGGAAACAAACTTAAAATAACTGTTTTTATAACTGGAAAAAAATGGGGTGAATCGAATGAAGACTGAGGGAGTAAGAACTACACACATAGCGAACGAAAAGGGATCAAAAAACAAAAACGGAAGCTAAGGTAACATACCGAACTAAGTCCATGGTAGTTGTTATATCTTAATCCTGTGCAATTTTTTGTGTTTCTAAGGCTCTTGTAATCTATATTCGCACCTCCTGATTCCCGTCTCAAGTTGAAAATTATTATTTTGTTTCCTTGCCAATTTTATACACTTGATTTCCGTTCTAATCCTGCGTAATTTTGTATCTAAGCCTCTCGTAAAAACCATATCTAGTTGGAAATAATTATCACCTTTTATTCGCCGTCGTAATTATGTAGAATCAAACAAGAATTGTCTCCATGTAAAATTATGTATTTAAATGCGATTGTACAGCTTTTGAAAATGAAATCGCCGAAAAGATATCTTTGCTGAACTTCGTGTTCTCTTCTTTCTAATGTCCATATGGATATTATTTAACTTTCATAGAACTTTGATGGTAGACGTCTCTTGATTGAAAGAACATATTAACCTGGGAACGTAAAGGAATAAAAAGACAACAAATAACGCTGCATATATGCCCTATAACAAGATAGGTCACTAACTCATCATACTGCTTGTAGATATCTGCAAAGTAAACAGAGCAAGAGTATGGTATTTTTTGTTTTGACATTTTCCTTAGAAGAATTAGCCTAGCATTCAATAACTCACCACATGTTTACGCTTCACACCGCTTCCAGCTGTACACTTATTCATATAATAATGGGCAAATTAAGTCTACATTCTGCGGTGTATTATTATTATTATTGTTCCCTTGGGTTCCTAGTGGAACATGGGGCTTCAACTACACGTCTCCACTTGCTTCTGTCTTCTACCGTACTTTTCACCTGCGTCCATGTTATTCCATACTGTTTCAAATCCTCTTCACACGATCTCCTCCATGTCACCCTTGGATATCCCACTCGCCGCTTGCCTCTCGGGTTCCACTCGAGGGCCTGACGTGCGATTTCACCCAGTGGCCTCCTCAGCGAGTGTCCAATCCATCTCCACTTTCTCCTGCATATTTGTTGGGCGACTCAGAATTTTACTTGGCATCGACAGGAGCATGATTCTTCGCCAGTTCTTGCAGAAACCTAAGTCGCCCTTCTTTGTTAGTTTCACAAGGTAACCTTTCCTCCAGTCAGTAGGTACCTTTCCCTCCTTCCAGACCTTTTGCAATAATGGAGTCAGCATATCTGCTGACATCTCTGGGTCCACTCTCGCAGATTCCCCACACTTCTATTCCATATCTTCTCATTTCTGCGGCTACTTGGCAGCCTTCCCAGCTTTGTACATTGTACGAACATTCCACGTGCCCATCCTTATTTTTGCTTTCATCGAAAGGAGACACATCGGTTGACTGGCTTCCCGAAGGTTTTCACCAGGCTGTGTCATTCCACTTCCCCGATTCCAGCAAAAAATAAGGTTATTGTTTATATTTTTAGTATTTTTAATATATTTATGCGTTGAAGTTTCTGTAGCAATTTGGTAAAGTTTTGGGGGTGGAGTTGCCAGCACCACGCCACAACCGTCCCTCTTTATCTAGGCTTGGGACCGGCTAGAAAACTAGCGAGCTAGTAATCTAGGCGAGGCAGAGTAATTGGGAATCTAATCATTTTGTACCACTAGCTGTGAAGTATTTCCAATGAGTTCTTAAAAGCTTTTAAAAATTGAATAATCATAAAATGACAATTAGTGTCATGCTTTTCAGTTTCTTTTGAATAGTGAACTGTTATGATCATGTCAATTATCTGTTTTCTTATCAAAGCATCTACTGAACATTACATCAAATATAATCCAGTGGTTGGAGAATCGAAAAATATACTTGTCAAAGGAATCATGAGTCAGTTGTACTTCTCTGAGATATGAGATGTTCATGTAAAGCCCGAAAACAAGAGACTTGGTAACGGACCCTTTTATTAAGGAAAAAACACCATATTTATTCATCTTTAACCACACCAAAGGTCAGCTAGGTCAGTGGATAATATATTGTTCTGATTGGTTGTCTATCTGCCAAAGATTAAACCTTGCGAAGAAAAGTTGTCCAATGAGGTTTATTCCTGACCACAACGTAAACTAAATCCATAATTTGAGAGACAAACGCTTCTATATCAGCAGTCAGCCACTGACTTAAAATGCTGTTTTCAATTTTGACTGCTTCCTATCAATCTGCGTCTACATACTACTGATACATTTGATCAGTAGCATACGCCACATTCATTTCCAAAGTTAAAGAGATCAGTTTCAAAAAATGTGAAGGCTTTAAGATATGATCTTTGATGCCAAAAGTAGGCTTCCAAAATACTGAAATAATAAATAATAAAGCTGTCATGTTCACACTTATATCTTTGTATTTCCTATTTTCCTACATTATTTCTTTCTCTACAGAATATGAATACAGAGATAGAAGAGAAGAATACGAAGAGTTGTAGTACTACAACTGATCGTTTGGTTTTAGACGATGTTAATAATATAAATGAAACACATAGTAGAGGTTAGTCATTTGCACCAATTAATTCTACTTGGATAATTATAGGTTTTAATTCATGAATAATCCCCATCCAGACATTAATAAAAACAAAACATGTAGTTCAGAGAAGAGTCTCTTTTAGGAGGCGAATTCATTTCCTTAGCTGTACAATCGCAAATATACAGGGGTTATTTTGTATGTATGCTTACACTAAGTTCGTCAAACAAAAATACAATTGAGTATGGTTATTTTAACTAAACAGGTGAAAACTAGTAAACTTTGGGTCGAGTTACGCAATACAAAAAACGGTGAAAAAAATTGGGTGTTAATGAAACTAGTGTAGTAACAAACGTGAGGAGTTGTCACAAACAGTTGTTAAAAAGGAGTTACGCAATAATACGAATAGTTTAATGATTGAGTTGTACTGAGGATAGACATAGGAACAAAGTAGAGAATACGAAATCACGTAGAAGTTCTAAATGAATACAAAAATTATAAGTAATTTAAGAAACAGGCAAACAAACAAAATTAGTTCATCAAAGTTCAACAAAGTTGTTACAATGATAATAGAAGTGGTTGAGTAATTCTCTTTTGTATGCATAGTTCCGTTTTTTTTCTATGTGAATGGCCAGAGCTTCTGTGATACAAAGAAGACTAGACCCTATTGCCTTTGGTAGGTTATTCTTGACTCTGTAGATTACTTTGAAGAAGGCATTTGTTGAGATAGAATTACCAGTGCTAACCAGTTGTTCAATTATCGCACTCCTTATAACACCACTATTGCCTTTTCGCAATGGGTTTAATCATTTATTTGTAAACTAATGATTAGTAGATTGATACGAAAGTTTTTTTTTGAAACACTCTCCTAATTAAGCTCATTAATTAATGTTAGCGTCAAGTGAATAGTTAAAGCCATCTGCCAGTTTCTTCTCAAATAAAAAGTAATGTATAACCTATAACATTACTTTGAACATTTTGTCAGAATTAACACTTTTAAAATATCGCGCCTCCAACTATCGATCAGTGGATAGAAAATATTTATGACATTAAAACAATAGAGTAATTTTCTAAACACAAGCTCACTGGAACACTATTGTCCAGTGGAGAATATTATTTTTTTCTGGTGTAGTTGTGTCCTCTAAGCTCACTGGTTTAGTTGGAAACCTTTCATTGTCCTACTAGACAACATCCTCAGTGCATATTTCAATTTGAAATATAATTCACGTCTCACAAAAATAGTTGATTTTATACTTTTGAAAAACTTTGTAGAAGCCTGTAGCTTTCACTCTGTAGTTTACTGATTTTTAAACACACACTTAGAAAGTATTCAAAGAGATGATCCATAAATGAATACTTGGTGACGTCACTTTCCTAAAGTCTTCCCTATGTACTTTTGAAATCATTTTGTAAACTTTATATTATCAGTTTAATTGAAGTTAACAGGTGAATATATTGCTGCACAAAAGTGCCTGATAAGGCCTCATAAACCTGCAATCGTAAAAGGTTGAAGGTAACATGCCACTGTTTGATTTTAACATTTTTTGAACATTGAATGGAAACAGCTGTCCTGAACAGATTTTACTTATTAATATTGTTTATTATATTATTATTCCCTTTGGTTCTGAGTGGAACATAGGGCTTCAACAACGCATCTCCAGTTTGCTCTATTTTCTGCAGTCCTCTTCATTTGGGTTCACGATTGGTCATTATCGCTCATTTCCTCCTCCTCAAAAGGTCTTCATGTCACCCTCGCACCGACTACCCACTCGTCACTTCCCATTTGGATTCCAGTCGAGCAATGGCCTGCGCCGCGCGAGATGTCATTCGATGGTTTCCTTAATTTATGGCCGATCAATCTCCATTTTCCCCTACAAATTTGTTGAGCAATCGGCGCTCGTCTGTTGGTTTGTTGCCAGTCAGAGTTTCTTGTTGCTAATTCTTTCTGGCTAGCGATTTGATCTTCAGTATGGAGCCAGCGAAGGCAGCTGTCGATAAACGTCTGCAGCCTGCTGGAAATCCTTTCCGTGACACTCCAAGTTTCTGACCCGTATAGAAACCCTGACTGACTTCACATTTGTGTTGAAAATCCGAATCCTGTTCCTTATGCTGGCTGGCTGAGTGCAGAAGATTTACAAACTCGTTTCAGGTTGATGATGGCTTATCTTGCCTTTCCGATTCTGACTGGCTTTGACATCTTCATCCGTTCTGCCTGTATTACTTATCAATAGGATTGATTATTTCAGTACAAACACTTCATAAAACGCTTTCACAACTTGTAAACATCAGTTTGTCATAATATCTACACTATTCTGTCTGGGCAAAAATATTACCGCAGTTGTTGTCCAATTCCGGAAAATCCATACTCCATTACCCTATTTTACGGAACACTCGCACTTTACATCGCCAATTGGCAGAAGTTAAAATTTATGGACCATTTAATTTCGACCCAATGGCTAGAATTTCATCAACTAGCCTAGTAACCTGAAGGTCCTGGGTTCGATTCCCAGTGAGGTCATGGATGTGCACTGATGAAGAGTCTCAGACTAGGACGAAAAAGCTGTGCAATACTTTCTAGTTATCAGTAGTTTCCTAACTGATACCAGTCGGTTATCTAACTCGAAACCAGTCTAATCTCCGCAAACGGACACTTGGAAATATATAGTTTTAGGGAATCTACAGTAATTAAGCGTTAACTTAAATGTTTTACTTCAATGAAGACTGTTGTTAATCTAATTCCTCTTTTATGGTGTTTCTCAAGTCGATTTTTGTAAACTTTTCCACTTATCTGTCTCACCTTTTTATTGTGTATCAACTTTAAAAAGAAAGCTTTTGACAGAAATTGTTATAAATTTCTAGTTGAAATTCCGTAATACTACTGTGATCTGCCTGTATAACAAAGTAATTTAGCATGCTAACATGAGACAGTATCTGACTTACGTTCACAGTTATTTCCATCCATTATGTCTCAATGATAACAAGTTGTAGCAGTTATAGCAATCGACCATCTTCATCCTTGAATAGTAATTATTATATAACCTTAGTCATGCAGAACGTTATTCAGTGTAATGCCTTTTGAGGCTAGAAATTCATCACAAAGTATCTAAGCAGTCATCGTATTCAATATGTTTCACTTCTCATTCAAATTTAGACAGTCACTTTAACTCGTAGTGAGTGTACTTTCAATTAGAAGGAAAACATTGTCTTTTGAGTTCTTTTCCTTTAAAATTATGTCGTGTTTTTTTACCAATAAACGCTTCTGTTTGTTTCAGTTTTTTTAATATTTTAATTATGTTTACTTTTTAAAACAAGGTGTACAAGCCAATCTCCTTGACTCAAGATCAGATCAAACTGTAAGCAGTGACGATACGGATGCGAAGACAGCAATTAATAATACAAGTGCTTCTTCTAGTCTATGCCAAACACCTATGAAATCCTGTTGGAAACAAAATGAATCCATCGGAATCCCCTGAATTCGTAGCAGATATCTCCAAAAAGAAACGAAAATAGTGGTTATTTTACCTTAAACATACCTATTTTAGATATATTCAGTAATCTAACTTATATTTTGAAATGTTTTTTCAACAGCTCCTCAGGTGTAGTAACATTTAGCAATAACTAATTATTGAGATGCCAAACAGATTACCTACCTTATTCATTTGTTGGAAGTTATATAAAAACCAGTGGATATTGTTTCTTAGTTTCTTAAATAAGTTTCTTCCAATCTCTAATGATTTATGCAGAATGTATAACAAGTTTAATCGGTCTACAATAAATAAATACCTATTTTCTTCCCTATTGTTTGTTCTTCTTATGCTGTAAGTTTTGCTACCTACTAGGAAAATTCATGCAGGTTTCCTGCAGTTTTGTTGAACTAATGCTCTCGTCACTGTCTTTCCAAGTGTTATCTTCAATCGTTGTGGATATGAGGGGTGACATCAACATGGATAGTTGTATTACCTTACTATCACTTCAGTTATGTGGTTAGTTGGACATGATAAATTTCTTTCCTCTACGTTCCCAGCGGAACATAGGGCTTCAAGCTAGATCTTTGAAATTACGGTAGCAGCGGTGTTTATTTTTACACGATGGGGTTGCTAGCCTCATGCCCAACCTTCCCTCTTTACCAGTCTTATTACCGGTTTAGCGTGTTAAAGGAGTGCGATGGCAGGAGACCGAACCCGGAACCACCTGCGTGTTTGGTGAGCATTCTACCACTGGGTAACCAACACTCGACAGATGATTTTAATGATCATTGTACTGAGACTACACAAAATAAGCGAATGTCCAATCAGAATCAAAACTTCCGAAAAGAAGTTGTTGGATCACTTTTAAAATGTTGAATAACATTTAGAAACAGTAAGGTATGAAATTCAACCAAGGTTTATGCATCTAAAGAAAATTAAATCTAAAATACCGTACAGGTCACCATTAAATATACTTCCCCAATGGAATTTGTGAGAGACTATAATTTTAAAGAGTTTCCAAACCAAGATTTAATATTCTTCCCAAGTTGAAAATACTAAAGTCAAAATTTCAAAATTCTTATCTTACCAACCTTTAAAATGACTACAAGAAATCAGTATAATTCTAATATTTAGATTATAGGATTTGGATTGGTTTCAGTTGCTAGATTCCGTCACGAACCGAAATCAGTTACAAACCATTGAAAATCAGACAGCATTAGGTAGCTGTTTCATCCTACTTCGAGACTCTTCAGAAGTTAGCACTCACAACGCTATTGCGTATCGAATCTGGTACCCTGAGGTTACCACACTAAGCTCGTTGACCATTCAACCACTTGGGACGGAATTCAGTGACTTATGACTGCTAGCGTTGTCAGTTCATGATGTAGCGCTACCGCCAACCAATTCCTCTGATGAGCCTCCACTTCACCTTGACATAGTGGACGACAATGATCAAGACTTCTTAGTACAGCCTAGTGAAATGTGTCTAATGACCACTTCTTAAGAGTCATTATCATTATCACTGAACTCCAGAAATGGTACCTGGAATATTTCAAAGAGCCATACTCAAAAGACGGAATGATAAATGGTAAACTACCTATTTCAACCTCGATGTGTACACAGATAAAATTAAGGATTCTTGGTGTATCAGGGTGAACAGATAAAAGTGACCAAGTCGGAATTAAGTGCTTTATGCTTCTCTTTGTTTCCCGATGATGCTCTTTTATAGATATCCTTTATACACAGTTAAATCAAGTACAAATTCAGCTATCGTTTATTCTAATCAGGGGTATCCATGATGTCAGCATAGAATTCCAAACATATTAAATTTAAACTGGAATAAAACATGTACATAATCACCATTTTGTATTTGTAACCTTCAAAAATACTGTCTTTCTGTATATCTTTACAATTTTTCATAATTAGACCCTATTTATATTCTGTTCTGAAGCAAATTAAGTATTCGAATGGAAATTCCTTACAGCGATAACAGAATTAGGATAAGAATGACTAATTAAGTATAGGTTAAGCAAGAGCTTGTTTTGTTTCTCTCATCTTTCATTAGCTGACTAAGCTACTCTGAAGGAATACACTTGATTTCCCGTAAGTTAAATGTAACAATTACCTGACTTTACGTGATTAAACAACAACAAATTCTCAAGTGTTGGTTTGCAGAGATCTGATCGGTTACTGGTTTGATCATGAGGTAACATCAGTTGCAGAACCACTGGACATTCAGGGAATACCGGGCACGTGCTTCGTCCAAATTCAGGAATCTTCATCAGTACGCACCACCAGGGTTCAAACCCACGACTTTCCTGTAAAAAGGCATGCTGATGCACCACTGGAACATGATCCAACAGCCCATAAATTACAGCTTCTACCAACCCGCGATATATATATATCGCAATCGTCAGCCAGTGTCATAGGTGAGTAACTGTTCTCTTACCTGACTTGATGTACCCTGCTGGTTAAGACTTCTCAATAGAACTCCAGATAACTTCTCATATAGAGCCAATCGTTAGTGAGCCCACCGTCTAAGGGGCAAGTCCTGGGTTCAAACTCGGGTGGGTGCATACCAATGAAGATTTCTAAACTTGAATGAAGCAGCCACTCAATACTCCGCGGTCTTTCAGTGGTTCTGTAACTCATCTCAGCTGGTGATCAAACCTGTACTGTTGAATGCAATTGGTCATTACCAAATATGTGTATATTCTCATAGCCTAATTTACCTCTGTAGTCCTCTTGCTTCCTCTTTCTCTTCTTATTCTTCAAGGATTGGAAATTTTTAAGAGACTCGCTAGTAATACTAACAAATACTTAAAGAAAACAGTGTGTGTAACCTACTTACACCACGTACATTGTACAAACAAAAAACAAAGTAAACAAATACGAATAAATTATTTTCACTTAACAGTTAACTAATATCATTTGTTGTTATAGTGACCTAGACCTACACAGAAAATACCTAACAAATGTTGATGTAGAAAACTAAAACTTAAATTCTTTTGATCTTTCAGGTTGCATTACACAGTAATTCGAATAATGTGATGTAATTTAACATTATAACTATTTCTCAATCAGTGAACGAGATTATGAACTACATTATCAGCATAATATTATTCGTTCCTCGAGTTCCGTATAGAATATAAGGCTTCACGACTCGGCTCTCTGTTATGAGTTTCAGCTAGATGCACGACTGTCCACAAGATTTAATTTTCTCTTCACCTGGTCATCTCCATCTCACCTTTGGACTTCCAACTTGTAGCTTCCCATTCGGGTTCCACTCATGGGCCTACTTGAATGTCCCCTCAGAGTATGTTCACTCCATCTCTCCTTGTTTCTTCACTACTTCCTGATAGTAGGTTATCAGGTATTTCTCTTCCATAGTACCTTGTTGCTTATCATTCCTGACTGACTATCTGATCATCAACATCGAGTGAAGGCAGGTGTTTATGTAAGTCTACAGCAAACCATCGGAAATGCTGTTTATGATAAGCGAGCTAACTCTCTAAACCACAAAGAAGTAGTGACTTGAAATTAGAGATAAACATTCGTGGCTTACCCCGTGTTCTGAGAGCTATAGATCTCCATATAGTCCCAGTTAAACATTGAGAGATCAAAATAACTCATAATTTTCTATGTCTCGATTGTGTTTAGAAACATACTGTGGTATATACAAGTTAGTTGGCGCACAACGTGCCTTTAAGCAAAAAGATGATGGTTAATGAGAGTTAATTATGATTGTATTAAAGCAACTGACTCCCAAATAGGCTAAATAGAAATCAAAGCTCAAATATTAGATAAATGTGTCACTTATTTGGAGATAAGTAACACTGTAATCGAGACCGCACTTTTCTTCTTATAACGAATCCATCAGCTGGATTCTGCTGTATACCAGTAAGTGATTCAGCCTCACTATCTGAAGATTTTAAACCCAAAGTGTCATTAACTTGTCTTCTGATACACAGTAACTGCTTCGTTTATAAAAGGAATCACTTTCGATTATTAAATGGTCACATTTGGAAATCCACCTTCCAGTAGCCAAAATAAAGTAGTATCCGTTTATTAACGCCTTAAGTTGAATTGACCAATATACACATACATATCAGAATATGTTCTTTAGAAGGGAAAGAATATCACCTTTAACACAATTCCCTGAATAGATTCCAAGAACTTACTAAACAATAGGTCAACAAGTTCTATTGCTAATTATTTGGTGGTTACCAGTTGAGAAAGCCATATGGCAGTTGAAACAATAATAATTTACTTAAGTTTGTAGAAACGGTCAGCAGTGCAAGGATAAGTCCAAAGATTTATATTGAGAAAGGTGCGATTTTCAAACTCTAACTTCCAATATGATTACAGATTTTGATTTGATAGTAAGTGAATACGTAGTATATTCATATTTACTTGAAATTCTATTAGTTTGTGACCCCATGTGGTTCTACATTAACCCTCGTGGATTTCATACGTATAGTTACACTGTTATCCAAACGTGCTAACATTAATTTCTGATTTGCCATTTCTTAAATGTGGCATAAGAACATCTAAATACACAATGACTCTAATTAATTTAATCAGCAAGTCCTTTCGTTCCAATTTCTAACATTTACGATTTCGTTGTCTTCATCAAAGTAATACATTCAAATGAAATTCGCAATTTGTAATTTACACAGTTCGAGTTGTAATTTCACCACAGTATCCTTTGGATACCAAAATTATTCAGACCGCAGTGTGCGATCTGATCGAGAGCATAAATCGTAACCAAGAAATCAAGCATCAATGCATAAAACTACACAACACTGATTGGTATACTCGAGTAGTTATAAACCCCTTACATCAACCAGTAGCATTTGCTAGCTAGATCGGAATGATCTAAACACCGGATGGATATTTCGCTCTTTCGGTACTCAGTACATCAGCAGTGTTCCCGGTCTCACTCATCTCAGAGAGCCAAATTAGTTCAAGCCACTCAATGAGTTGATGACCTTCACCTCAAAGGA